CACGGGGAATCCAGAACCGATGAACCCTTCAGGACGAGTGGTGAGTGTGACGATACTAGGGGTTGGGGACAGAAGGTGGGGTAGCAAGGGGGAACTGATTACAAGGATCTACATATAACCCCCTCCCTGGGGAATGGTCAACAGAAAGGTGGGTGAGGGGAGACATTGGTCATGTAAGACATGGAAAAATAATGATTTATAAACTTTCAGCGGGGAGGGGATGGGTGAGGGAAAAGAATAATGAGGAGCTGATACCAGGGGCTAAAGTGGAAAGCAAAACTTTTGAGAATGTTGAGGACAACAAATGTACAAATGTGCTTCACGCAATGGATGGATGCATGAATTGTGCTAGGAGTGACTATGCCCCCAATAAAATTATTTAAAAATAATAATAAAATTGCCAAATCTCCCCTATTGGTTATTTTGTTCTTTGGGTTGTTAATGTTGGTCAGTGTAAAACAGGGGAAAATAACGATTTATAAATTTTCAGCGGGGAGGGGATGAGGGAGGGAGGGCAAAAAAAGAGGAGGTGATACCAGGGGCTCAAGTTGAAAGTAAATGTTTTGAGAATGTTGAGGGCAACAAATGTACAAATGTGCTTGACACAATGGATGGATATATGGATTGTGATAGGAGTGTATGAGTCCCAATAAAATGATAAAAAAATAATAATAAAAGTGCCAAAAATATCTCGCCTGTTGGTTATTTTGTTCTTTGGGTTGTTAATGTAACTGGAGTTGTTTTCTTAATTTCCTTTTCCTATTTATCATTGCCAGTCCACAGAAATACAACAAAATTTTCTGTCATATTTTTATTCTGCAACATTACGAAATCCATTAGCTCTCATAGTTATATCTAAGAGCCCTGGTGGCACTGGTAGCCAGGTGTCATATAGCCACAGGTTTGTAGTTCATACCCAACACGTGCTCTTGGGAGGAAAGTGCTCTGTGGGCTCCTGTGAAGAGTTGCAGTCATGGGAAGCCTATGGAGGTCACTGCGAACTGGAGCTGATTGCGTGGCGATGGTGTGGTGTGAGCTGTCATTGCATTTGCAGTTTCCCTAGGACAGAGTTATGGATCTGAGACTCTCTTTCCTCTATATGAATTTCCCTCTCAGAACTGTTTTTACTGCACTATACCCTTTGGCATGCTATATTTTCATTTTCACCCACCATCAAATACTTTCTAATACCCTTGTGACTTATTTGTTACCCACTGATGGCTGAAAAACACATGTGCACTAGTTACATGTTTGTGAATGCCCAATTCTCCTTTAGATATTGACTTTAAGCTCCACTGCGTCATGGTTGGAGAGAGGGCATTCTGTGTGATCTCAGTGCTTTTTAAGTAATTGAGTTATGTTGTGTGTGGTTACACTGGGGGTTATAATGAATCCATTAAACACATAATAATCTTTTTGGATGGATATTGGTCCCCAGGCAGCTCTTTCTCCCTCCCTTTAAGTTGTTATCACAAATTGCATCTTTATACACCGTGCACCCATTAACATAAACCTTTTATTATTTTTGGTGCATCTGTCTTTTAAAAAAGTAGAGCTACAGCTTGGTATATTTTAATTTGTTCTTC